GTAGAGTTCAGTAGTGTCTGGCATATTCACCTTGTGTGTATCAGATTTCCAGAACTTTTCATTTTGCAAACCTGGAACTCCATCCTAAACAATAAGTCCCTGTTTCTCCCTTACTTCCACCACCAGGAGCCACAATTCTTTCTGTCTCTATGAAAGTGACTTCTTCAGATGCCCCAGATAAGTAAAACATACAGCATTGGTCTTTTTGCATCTGGTTGTTACACTTAGCATAGTCTCCTTAAGACTTACCCATGTTGTAGCATGTGACAGGATTTCTATCCTTTTTAAGGCTGAATAGTATTCCATCACAAGTGTATGCAACTTTTTGTTTATCTCTTCACCCACCAAGAGACACTCGGGTTGCCTCCACCTTTTGGCATGCAAAAGGTGCATCTCTTAGAAAGACTGCTGCTTTGTTCTTTATCTCATTTTTTACTATATATCCAGATATTTGATTGTATAATATTGTAATTCTTTTTTAATTTTAGGAAGAACCCTATACTCTTTTTCATAGTGGCTGTACCATTTTTATGCCTACCAAAAGTGCAAAATTGTTGCAATTTATCCACATAATAGTCAGTATATGTTCTCCTTTCTCTTTCATGTCAGCCATTATAATGATTGTGAGGTATAATCTCTTTATTGTTTTTTTTAATATCTCCCTAATGATTACTGATTTTGAGCATTGTCTTATATGTTTGTTGGCAATTTGTAGGTTATCTCTAGAGAAATATCTTCAAGTAACATGAAAATTTTAAATTAGGTTATTGGTTCATTTAATTGTCATAATTCTTTATGTATTCTGAATATTATCCTCTCATCAGACATAACATTTTACACATTTTCTTCCAGATCACAGGTTGCCTTTCCATACTGCTATCTAAGTCTTTAATGCACACGTTTTTAGTTTTGTAGTTACATAGTTAGACAGCCACAAGTGTCTATTTTCCCTTTTGTTTCATGTGTTTTTGGTGTCATATCCAACAAATCATTGTCAAATTTAAGGTTATTGAGTTTTTCTCAGATGTTGTCTTCCATGAGTTTAAGAGACTTATGTCATATATTTAGGTGTTTTGGTTTTTTTTTTTATGATAAACACATATCATCATTTATTTAATGTTTAAGCTCTTGCACTAGATTTTTACAAGCTGGTGAACACTGACAAATTATTTCTCCCACAGAGCTATAACCACTTGTTCCCGGACAGTATAAATATATGGTTGAGCTAACATCAATACACATCACCATTTTATCAATTACATAATAAAACAAATTGTCAAGTATCCAAATATTAAGTTACACAGCTCAAAAGGTGTATAAAATATTAAATGTCTGCTCAATTCATTAGCAGAAACCCACTTTTTTGTGTGAGAGAGGCTGGGAATCACACTTCAAATAAGTCAGTAAACAACTTCAGTTAAGTATGAAAAAAAATTACAAGAATTTCATGAATTTTGATTAAGAATTGTTTTAGTGTCAGGGAATAATTGATGGGAGGATTCGTACGTGCTGTCTCTCATGAGGCCTCTGTCCCTCTTCAAGCCAAACAGCACGCTGCTCCCAGGGGCTGAGGTCATTGTGTGAGGCAGGCTTGGGTCTCCTTTAGTAAACATTCTCTTTAGGACAAAACTGCTTAGTCTCGTTCCCCTTTCTTGAGATGTGGATTGTCTCCTGACCTTGTGACTAACATTACCCCTGTTCCCTTGGTAACGGTTGCTGTAGTTTGGTTTTCTGATCTCTATCATTCCCAAAAGAAGTTTCTTGTACCACAGCCTATATATACTCACAGAAAACTCATTAAAGCACCTTTGCTCCATCAGAGCTTAGGTCCCCCGGTCTTTTTTTGTCTCTCTCTCTCTCTTTCTCTCTTTTACTTTCTTATCGTCGACTCCGTACCACCAGGTTCCGGTCCATTAAAGGACCCCAACATTTTAGTTACAGTAACGAAGTATTTCTGCCTTTTAAAAAAATATTTACTAAATTAAAGCGCATATTCTACATGTTCTGCACAAGACAAAGGCAACATTTTACTAAAAATACTTAACAGCCCCTTCCCATTCTTTTTTCAGGCCCTTCCTGTAAGTTGCACCCCAAAGTGCAAACATTAAAATGAACTGTAAGGTTTTTGTCTGGAGACATTAAAGATGTGTGCTTCTGTACAATGTAGATTTTCAAAATGGAGGCCTTCTACAACATAAAATGAGATTTATAGAAAGATATTAAATAATCACTGTGAGACTTGGTTAATTAAAAAAGGAGCAAATCTGATGTATACTGGTATGAATGTGGGAGATGTAAACATATTGTGAGCAAACAAACCTCATAGGCCCTACTTTCTATGTTTGAAATGATTCAAGGAATAAACCACATAAGGTCCAGAGTGTTCATAGTTCCTGGGATTTGTTCTATATGATACTAAAAATATACAAGTATTGTGCTGGGTATTTTGGCACCTAGTCTTTCTAAATTTCTTACGTATTGGTAAGATTCTGGCATGGAAACAGATTTAATGACATGACTCAATACTGCATGATTTCAGGAAAGGTCAATTGGTACAAATTATAAGCACATATTAATGCTGAACAGCAAGAATTCTTTACTAGTATTCAAATAGGTTGATCATAACCTGAACAGAGACTGCAATTCTGCCAGGCCTATGGCCTGGTAAAACTGCTTTTCAACACTCCTATGGAAGCTTCATCAGACTTATTCACCAAGTCAACTGGGCTATCTGCTATGTACGACAAATTCCATCGTGTCTCAGGTTCCACTTCCAAGCAATGGCATCATGCACCCTAGTTTTACTGAATGCAACAGTTGTTTCTATGCCCATTGGAGTCTTTGAAGCACAGCCACATTTTAGGACGATACTTCTCCAAATACAAAAGTTGCTTGCTGTTAAAAGCTCGCCGCTTTTGTCTTGTGAACTGTATTGCATCTTCATATTTCATCCCACCTTCAATTAATGCTAGGGCAAGAGGCACTGGAGCTCTGCCAAGGCCTGCCACACAATGAACAGCAATACAACATCCAGGGTCTTCACGAAACTTAATTTTCACAAGACTTAACCCGTCATCAGCAATCTGGTTAGATGGTGGTGCGCAATCATCAAAACGCCAATCAAGAACATGGATGCCTTCTTTCTCCACAAGAGTAGTGTCATAAGTAGCTTCACATACTCTTACGATTGTGGTAACTCCATACTTCTTAAGTTCCTCTATAAATTTGCTTAACGTTGCATTAGTTGGGTTGTATGTAATAAGAAGTCTCATGTTCCTGTATGTAACTTCCACAGGAGCTGGGTGGTTCATTCTAGCCATGTTAATTTGGTTAAAAAATACTCAGTAGGGATATGAAAGAATTTAAAAAATTGAATACAGAAATGATGCAAAGAAACTCAGTCAACTTCAATATACTCCACTTGAAATTCTCAGTGCTTTTAAGTACGAAGTTGGGAGTAATGAATGAATGAACCTCTTAACAAGAAGCAGCAATTCTTCAATCCAGTAATACTGAGGCACTAGAAAGGAAGTGTACTGAGGTTTACCCCATCCAGATCAGAACTCTTGTAAAAATAAATGCTCTGTGGATTTCAATTCAACACTTCTGTGTCCAGGTTAACCAGTCTTACGGGGGCTTCTTGGTTGAGCAGTAATGAATTTCTGCAGTTCACTTGTCTGCATAGAGGTCGTGCTGTGCCTGGGAGTAATCTCCACTGCCTTTCAGAAACTCCATAAATGTGTGACCGAGAACACCACAGAACTGAGGAATATGTCTACTCCTTGAAGACTGTGGCCTAACCACGCAGCCTGTCCCGAGGCGGAGGCGGCGGCGGCGGCAGCGGCAGGGGCGGTGCCGGGCGTTGTGCGGCGGCGGCACCGGAGTCGGTTCTGCCGTGAGCGGCCTGGGGAAGAGCGCGCAGCCTCGCCGCCCGCTACGTTTAGGTTTTTAATCCGTATTAAGTTAGTTTTTGTTCATGAAGCTAGGTAAGGGCCCACATTATGCATTTTCACATAAGCAGCTGGTTTTCCAATGCCATTTGTTGAAAGGGTGTCTTTTCCCTGTGAGTCATCTTGGCACATTTGTTGAAGACCATTTGGCGAAACCGAAGCCTCATTTCTGAGCTCTGTATTCCGCTCCATGGTTCTACAAGTCTGTCTTTGTGCCAATACTATACTGTTTTGAGACTGCAGATTTGTAATATGTTTCCAAGTCAAGAAGTCTGAGAGCTTTTCACTGGGGTGCTGCGTGGCTCTTCAGGTCATGTCTGGCAGTTCCATGGATCATAGCAACAGAGACCATGGTGACCGTGACCCAGAAGGAATGGACCCACTGGTGTCATCGAGGGCGACTGGAATGAGGCTGTTGATAACATTGGTAATAAGAACTTACAGGAGTCTCTTCTTTGGGGCACCTATGCTTATGGTTTTGAGAAGTCATCAGTTATTCAGCAGAGAGCTATTATTCCGTGTATTAAGGAGTATGATGTGATTATCAAGCTCAGTCAGATACTGGCAAGACAACCACATTTGCTCAGTGGTTGGAGACTGAATTCGAGGAGACCCAAGCACAATATTGGGCCCTGCCAGAGAACTGGCTTGGCAAATCCAAAAGGTAATTCTAGCACTTAGAGACTATGTGGGAGCAACTTGTCATGTCTGCATTGGTGTAACCAGTGTTCCAAATAAAATGCAAAACTGCAGGCCGAAGCACCACATATTGCTTTTTGTACACCTGGGAGAGTTTCTGATGTGTTAAACAATTATCTTTTTCCAAAATGGGTCGAAACGCTTGTTTTTGGTGAAGCAGATAAAATGCTGAGCTGAGGGTTTATGGATCAAATCTATGAGATTTTCCAAAAATTAAATACAAATATTCAGGTGACGTTGTTTTCTGCCACAAGGCCAACAGTTGTGTTGGAACTGACCAAAATTCATGAGAAACCCTATTCAAATTCTGGTGAAAAAGGAATAACTGACCCTTGAAGGAATCAAACAATTTTATTTTATTTTTTTCCATTTATTTTTATTAGTTGGAGGCTAACTACTTTACAATATTGCAGTGGTTTTTGTCATACATTGAAATGAATTAGCCATGGATTTACATGTATTCCCCATCCCGGTCCCCCCTCCCACCTCCCTCTCCACCCCATCCCTCTGGGTCTTCCCAGTGCACCAGGCC